CAGCGCGAGCTGAGGGGGGGGCTTCTCCCGAAAAGCATCTCAGGCTGTTTCTGGGATCTTGCCTCTCTGAAGTCGTTAGTCCCCGCTAATCCTGCTTTGCCGAGCGTGAAGTGGGGGAGGGCGGCTTAGAAAATCAGCCCAGCACTTCATGAGCCAATTAATGCAAAATTCGCTGTCACTAAGAGGATGATGACAGGGTTTCATCTCACGGGAGCGTGGCGCTGGGCCAGGGAGGATGCCGTCCCCTGGGATGCTGTCCGGGGCCCTCGGTGTTCGCAGCGGGTGAGGGTGTGGGACGGATTTTGCACGCCCCCCCCGCCTTGGGAAGCCCCCCGTAATTCACTGCAGGACGGGGCGACTCGCGGGAAATGCTGTGAGGTGGCTGCGCACCCCCGCGGCCGGCAAGCCCCCAGGCGCAGCCCCCAAAGCCTGGCTCCTCTCGGGCTTTGAGGCTCCCAAGGGGAGCCCGGGGTGGCTGAGCATGCCCTCAAGTGCCCGCCGGGTTTTGGGGTGCTGTCATCCCCTTGCCGGGTCAGACATCTCCTGTCCTGCCCTGTGCACGGACACTCGTCCTCTTGTCTGTCCTGCTTTGTGTCCCCTTCCCCTCTCCTGGGGCTGGCCCTGCCTCGGCGTGGGGCTGGGCTGTCTGCTGGGCTTCTTCCTTGGTAGGGATCTTCTTGCATTCACCACGCACCTCCCCACAGAGCTACTCACTTGTCTTCTTGCAGGGATAATGGCTTTTTCATGGCCACCACGTGGTCCTTCGTCATCTGGCTCCGGGAATGGAAAGATCCCATTTTACACGTTGCTTCATGGCAGCTGCAAGGGAAGAATTTATTCCAAGATGCCCGAAGGAGAGCCTGGGGACAGAACATCTCCCGGCTCAGCTTGGTTGAGGTTTGCGCTCACGAGGTGCTCCTAGAGCACCAGATTTTGTAGCAAGCCCAGGTCCTATGGGGAAACTGGTCTCGTGCTGTGCGCTGGCTGGAGGAGCATGTTCCCGCAGGTCCCGTGGGATCGTCTGCGCCTTTCCCGAAGCTTGGCAGCTGGGGCTGGGCTTGGCTGAGGACCTGCGAGTGCTGAGCGAAGCGGGAGCATCCTACGCCTCTTCCGCGCAGCGTCTGTCGAATTCCCTCGGGGCCTGATGCACATAATTGGCAGAATTAACGCACAGAGAACATGGAAACAATTTCTTCCAGCATGCAAACGTTCACACGCTTCCAAGGCACTTGAGTGTTTGGATCAGCTGCGGTGAGTGACGATAGTTTTTGCCCGTCTTCTACCTGCAGATGTTTGTCAGTGCTGGAAGAAAGTCCTTTAAATGAAGGAATTTGCTTTCCCAAGGGCCGGAGGAGACAGTGGCATGAATCATGCAGATCCAAGCTCAGATACCACCAGAAGGCTGGGAGAAGAGCCGGAACACGCGGGAGACTCACCCAACGAGGGGATAATGTTAAAAACAACATCAATCACTGGAAAGACAAGAAATGAGCAGACCAAATCCAGTAAGGCTGTGTATCGACAGCAGGACATGGTCCCACGCAAATGCCCTAATTCAAGCAGTTGTTCACCTCTGGGACCGTCCAGACCCCATTTCGATACATCTTTGAGCTAACAACTCGCTCTGCTTGTCCTGTGGCCCAGGCAGTAGCCGTCGAGGGCAGCCTTGGCCGTGCCAAGTGACATTTATCTGGGGGGTCTGCAGGCAACGTTCACCTGCCGACGGGCAGCGGCCAGTGAAACTTCAGCCCAGGGACATTTTGGGCGTTGAGGTGGGGGTCTCTGCCCCCCAGGTACCGCACGGGACACGAGTCTTGTCGGGGGATCCAGCGATGGCTGGAGAGATCAAGGAAAAACGTATGAAAATTTGGGGTGAAACAGCGTTGCAAAGGTTACATCAGGATGCTGGGACCGTCCGCTATTTTCTTGCACCGTCCCAGCCAGGCTGGTGCACCGAGGCGGGCAACGCAAGTTCTCTCCTTCAGCCTGTCTGTTACTATACCCGCGCCCATTTTACCTATGTATATACAACCTTGAATGTAACATATGTAATATCCATTATATAGTGTGCATGCTGTATGTATTTGGACAACGTACGCAACACAGTATTTAGTAATATTTAATAAATACATCTGTTTAAAATGGCAATTTTTATTCTGCACCTTGGCAGCAGCATTAGGTTATTAAGGCTGAAAATCTACTGAATTTCTCCCTATTTTTTTAACTATCACCCAGCCAATGAAGAAAGCCCAAAGGTGGTTTGATTTTGGTTCAGCAACTCCAGATTTGGGCAACACGGTGCTGCTGTGGGCATCCTTCTGGGGCCTTAGAGAGCACAGTGCTGGGAGTGGGGAAGAGAAAAGCAAATCCAGCTCCTTGGTTTTTTTTCCCCCAAAGAATATCCAAGAGACAGGCAAGGACAAAATCCTTCTAATAGGGAGGAAATATAAGCAATATTTCCAAACCTAACCCAAATGTAACGCCCTGCATCCACCCCTTGTGTAACACCCTCTGGCTTTAAGTGTCTTATACAAGCCTTTACTCACTCAGTACTGAGCTGTGCCTAAGCCGGGATTGATGGAGAATCCTATTTAGGAAAACACCCTTGATGAAGAAAGCACGAAGCAAAGAGGAAATTTTGCATGGACGTTTCCAAGCGTGATGGCACAGTAATGCAGGGACCATCCCTGGGAGGGTTCCGGGGCGCTTCACATCGCTTGGTATAAAAGGCGAGCCTTGATTCAGCCTGAGCATCGGAGCTGGCTGTGGTCGAGGATTACAAGAGCTGTTTTGATCAGGGGAAATTTTCTGTTTTTAGCACAGGCAGCAATTAAAATAGCTCGTGAATCTAAACACCTCGGGGAGCTGTCATAAAAGGAGGCAGAAAATCCATCTTCTGGACTCCTCTGCAGCCAGAGATGAGCCTGGAGAAAGCAGAGGAGACAAGAGCTTGAGGTTCACCTCGTGAAAAAGGACAACTCGAGACATTGAGCCGGATACGCCAACTTGATCTCGAGATGGCTGAGGAGGATCTCCGGGGTTCAAGCACCCCTTTCTCGCTCTCCTTTTCAGGCAGTGGCTTTCTCGCCCTGTACCAGGTCGGGGTGGTGCAGTCCCTGCTGGAGCTGGCTCCCGAACTGCTCAAGTCCGCGTGCAAGGTCTACGGGTCGTCCGCCGGCTCGCTCATCGCCGCCGCCGTGGTGTGCGGCATCGGCCTTGGTAAGACAGTTATCACCTGGATTTTCTTACTATCGATTTTTTATTTCAAAATAGAAATAGAGAAGTTAATGCCTTAAAGCCCTGGTGGGGATGCGATACTGGTGTAACTCATATCACTCACAAGGCAGGAAAGAAATCTGCCTGTGTTGCCACTTTTGGCAATCACCCTGGAGTAATTTTGGGTGGTGTAAGCTGAAAAAGCCTGTTATTACTGTCTGAATGTTATCGCAGATGGTCGGGTAGATACTGCGTGGTAAATCTGGATGTACCTGTATTTTATTGGCTCATTTTCCTGCTACTGCTGAAGGAGCAGATCTCCTTGTCTTCTGCTACAAGGTCTAAGGAGTGTTGAGATGTGTCCCAGAGCAAGTCTACACAGCTGAGGCGGGTGGATATACCCACATAAAGCCCCCTTGTCCCCTATGGATCAGGCCCCTTGGCATCCTTAGCTACGAAGGGACACGAGAGGCAGCCATGTGGGTATCTACAGAGCCGACAGCCCTGTCTGCACGTTGCGTTGGTTTATCCCACTCAACCTTTCCAGCACAAGGGAAGATGCGGCGCGATTCCCGTTTCCAGATAGCGGAGCACCTTTCCCCTTGGCAAAAGCCCAAGGGCTCGTCAGCGGGATATGGCTGGGGTAATAGTGGTCCCCGCTCCAGCCTGGGGCTGGGGTTTCTCTTATTGCTGCGAAAGAGGTTTTACTCTGAACCTCTTTAGACAATGTGGAAACAGCCCCCCCGCCCCAAGCAATAAGATCATCTATGCGTAGAATTAATTCAGAGCAGTTAATCCACTTTTAATAATCACATCCTCCCATATTTCCAATTAGCGTCCACATGTAAGCAAGTGTACACAAGACCTAAGTCTTTGAAGGCTGATCCAAGCCCCGCTTCAAGCAACGGGGACATTTAGGAGGAGCGGGGGTTTTAGGGTGCAAGTAATGAAGGAGGAAGCAGGGAGAAACACTCAGTGCTTGAAACCTCTGCTGGGTGCTAGAACCACTCTGCTGGAGCCAAAAATAATCCAAAACTTTGGCAAATACAATTGGGCAAAGCAGAAAGGGTCCTTTCTGCCTACATCGGGGATGAAGTCCTCTACAAATCAGCAAGGGCCCCAACATTTCCGCTCTGATTCCTCCTGCTGGTGTAATTGGATGGAGCTGGGGCTGTCCAGCAGGTAGAAATCAGTTTGGAACTGCTCTTGCTGTGGGCACCAGTGCTGACATGGGGGTCTGTTTCACTAGGGGTGGTAGGCACCACCCACTCAGACGTGCTGAGATGATCTTGTGCCCAAAGCATCTTCCGCAGGGGAAGAACAGACCTTTTGGGCAGTGATGACTCAAGCTGGGTTTCTAATAAGGAAAACGAATGTGGCACAAACTCTGCCAAATTCACACTGGGGAGGATTGGAGCAAAAAGAGGGTTAAAGGTGTGCATGGCCCCTGATGGCGTGTCCCATGGGGTGGCTGTGGTCATGTACCCTGACCCGGGCTGGGTGAGGAACTCCAAGCTCTCCAAGCCGGGCTGTCCCCTGCTGCCCCACGGTCACCTCCTGGGCACATGCTCGTCACCAGCAAGCTGGTGCAGGCGGGGACAGCCATGGCATCGCGTCCCGCGGTCAGCCTTCGCTCTCCCCAGGTCAAAGCTCCAACCAGAGCCAAAGCTGCGGTCGGCTCTGACCTCCTACCTGGCAGCTCGTGGGTGGTTTTTTCCAGGTTTCCCCCCATTTCCAGGACACAGAGCGGCCAGGCAGCGCTGGGCGAGTGCCATCACCTGCCTGGGGTGTCTCTGGCTCTTTCGGCATCCCCGAGGACCCTGTGTGAACCCGCCGAGCATTAATCATCACACCACATGGCCTGAACATCTGCTCAAACATTTATAACCCCTCTTAATACCTGTGTTGCTCCAGTTGCCTTCAGGACACTCCATCTAATCCATCTGTCTGTCCATGCTTTTAATGCCATCTCACGAGACAGCCCGGAAACCTTTGCCCCTACAAAGCCGCAGTGCTAAGGCAAGCCCGTGGCTTTGTGCCAGTGCAGGGTCCCGGGGAGCCCACCCGGGTGTAAGGGTGGCTCTTTGCGGCATCAGGGAGCTGGATAAGCTTTTTGATGCAACAGCGAACGGCCCGAGGTGGGGTATTCCCCCAAGCAACCTCCCCATTTTGGCAAAGGGACCAAGCTCCCTCCCCAGGAACAGGTTGGCCGTGGGGTTTGCTGCACCCCTCTTCCCCCGTCACTGCACAGCCTTTAAAGCCCGCTGGCTCCTGAGCCCTTGGCCGGGGCTCTGCAGTCCCGCTCCTTTAATCCAGCTCCTGGGGCGTGCAGCCGCGTGTAATGACCGTTAACACAGCTGGGAGGTCACCGGGGGAGCTCAGACGAGCGGGGAGTCCCGGCACGGTACAGTCGGGGTGCTTGGCTTGCAGGAAAGCCCTAAGCGGAGGAGGTGGGGGCCTGCCCCTTCTCCTCACCCTTGAGCCGTCCCAGCTCCCCCGTGAAGCCTGGGGGCTGCCCATGTGCAAAATCGGAGGTGGAAGACAGGAATGTGCTGTGCAAGTCACATTGGCACCGACAGCTCAGTGTCTGCACCTACGTCCCCCTCCCTGGGGCTCTCTGGAGCCCTTCCCTAACCTCCGGCCAGGCACATCTTGAGCACCCATCACCGCTGCAGACGGGGATTTCACCAGCCGGGTGGCACTCAGCAGTACGTTGTCCTTGGAGGACATCATGGGGGTGATCTTCCCCTTTCTGCCCTGCTACCACGTCCCCCATTATAGCAGCCGTATCATCCTGGGGTCAGGCACAGAGCTGCAAGAGACTTTATTTGTGGGGAGTGTTAAAAATAAGACTAAAAATGTAACTGTTAGGGCAGCAGGGATATTGACTTTCTCTCTGTCCTTTCTCCCCCACTCTGTGTCAGATGAC